CTTGGTTCTCAATGGGATACACTGGCGTTTGTGGAAAAGTCAAAGAATACATCGTCCTTGAGCGCGGCGTTCGGAAAAGAATATCGCTTTTTGTTTTGAGGATCTGCGGCAGAAACGTGCCGATAGGATCCGAAGAAGCGTCTTAGAATTTTGGGAGATACCACGATACATCGACGTCTTTCATTGGGTGGTTCTAGAGATAGACCTTTTTGCTTCAGGGTGTCGAGGACATGGAGATGACGGAAGCGGCGGTACAAGCTGCGCTGTTTCCTGGAGTCAAGTCACTAGAGGCTATCAAGGAAGTGGCTCGACATCACCCCTGTGCGTCGCATGATGTCTTGTATATATCAGTCGGCTTTGGTCCATATTCTAGATATAGAGGTCAATTCCACACAATCGAGTCCCCTAAAGCCCTGAACAACTGCGCCCACCGCCACACCGAGGTCACACAGATGAGATAGCATCGCTGTGGCCCGTAGAACGTCTCTAGTAGGATGAATGTCTCTCGTGGGGGTATGAAGTGTCCGCACTTCCCATCAACAGCGAAATGAAGGTAGCACTAGATACAGAAGTCGACAGGACTTGATGCGCTAGACAGCCGCCAACTCAAATGGGGTTTCGCGGACAATGTCTCCTAGCCTGGCAAACGCAAGTTGCAACTCTACCAACAGCCAGGGACGCTTTTCAAGTACGAGATAATAATCGCCAGGGGACTTTCTCGCGGACCTCTGCACACTGCCGCTAGTGGGACAAGCTCAATCTGATGCTGATCAATCATGGTTGAATCTTGACTCGTGTTTCATGCTGCCCACTGGTTGATGGACGGATGATCTCCATGCGTCCTGGTTCGTCTCGAAGCTCCCGAGCTAGCTATGAGCGAAGCAAAATCGCCTGGTCTGACGCCGAACCCTTTTTGCTCACGACTAGGAACATCCTCTGTGAGGGCAACGGCCAGCCTCGTTTAATATGGGAATAGTGGTCTGTCCTTAGAGCTGGCGATTTCTGACCCTGCAGATTGCATTTGAGTACCGAGTACAACGGATGCTCTGGAATTGATGGGTGCCTTGCTTCGTCTAGTGAAAACCCACCTGTTTGACGGTCAGACAGCAGGTTAATTTTCCGAGCTGGGTCTCCCGTCCTCTACGAGGTACAAACTGCGAATCCACTCCCAAATCCCCTAAACGCGTCCCCCCGCCCGCCCCCCAGCCCATGGCTCAACGCTCTCTCGCAGTGCAGCTCAATCACTTGCCACGTCTGCAGCTTCTTGCTCCAATCCCCATCACTCTGCTCGGTACCTCGTTTGGTCAATGAGACTGCGATGCAGCGCTAGATATGGCCTCAACACGTCTTGAAATATGATATCGAGTTCTCCAACGTGGCTTTTGTGCCAAAATCCCATCCCAAATCTCGCCTGTTCCACGTACCCGTCTTGATTGGCTGTAGTAAGAAGACTTTCCCCCTGTCCACCTCCTGGGCTGTTCCTCGACTTGTGCATGCGCAACTGCACCCTCATCTCAAAACAGTATCTGCGTTGGCCTTTCTACCTCGTCCACCTGCAATGTAAGGCATGGACTATGACAACGGTACTACGTCTGTCGAGCTTCCTTACGACCACAGCTTGGCCCTTCGACCCGACATCGATTCCTCCCCCTTCGACTCCGCGCAAACACCACCGTTGTCCTACCGGCCTGAAACCCCCCCGGAATCAGTACAAGTCATATCCTCGCTCATTGATTCTCTGAGCAAAATATCCGCCTCGTCGTATTCGAGGCAAGAACTTAGCGCGAACGCCGACATACACATCTCAGGAGATCTGCACCGACGTTCCAGTTCCTCAGAACCACCAAATGCGGACGACTTGGACAGGGAACAGCACGACCCTCCTCCCACTGATGATAGTAGTGAGGCAGAGGCCGCCGCGCCGCCGGTGGTTAAGTACGCTAGAAGGCCACCGCTATTGTCCAAAAGGTCGAGCAGATCATTCGTCCACTCCCTGAATATGACCTCTCAGAGCGGTCTAGCCACGAGAGAATCTATACAGAGTCTTAAGTCGCGTGCCGAGTCTGATAGCGTTGGGGTACCCAGCATTGAGAGACGAAACCGTTCCAGCGCCAGCTCAACCTTCTCATTTGTCAGTGGTTTGAGCGTCCCTCATCGGAAGCCAACGTTCGAGTCAATGCGCGAGATGGCTGCCTCAAAGCCTATTCCTCCGCGGCGAGTTTCGTCAGATAGACGCCGGAAGACCGAATCCCTTTATAGCATGGACCACGAAAGGGAGAACAAGTGGCCGACCCGCGCATCATCCATTGATGGGCGTTCAAGTGTGGGAGCACAACTTGAACCTGCGCCTGCTGAGAGTCCTACAATCACTGCTCTGAGATTGAGCAGGGGTGATTTAGGAAGTCATATGATCCCTTCTCGTCGGTCATCCCTAAGGCGCAGCGTCACCGGCGTTTCGGATGTCTCCCCCGACCAACAGAACAGACACTCTTTCTCTACTCGAGATCTGAAAGAGCTCAACATCGATTCCGAACTCATTGAAGGCGACAACTCGACTGTTAGACGTATTCGTGAACTGCAAGAAGCTCGGGAAAAGCGCCAAAAGGAATGGCGAAATGAGGCACGGAAATCGGAGCGAGCCGCGAAGAGACATACCATTGCGACGCCTAAATTGTCGACACAACGATCAAGTCCTTACCAGACTTCGAGACTCTCTGTTACTGAGGTGGTGGTAGAGTCACCCGAAGTGGAAAGTCCACTCGACCTATCCGCAACCGTCACCGCATCTGATCTGGCCGACATGCCTGCCTTTGCTCCACAACTTCCTAAGGAGGAACCACCCCTGCCGCCGCCTGCTGTGGGCGGCGTTATGTCTAGTCCTTCAAGTGCAGCGCCGTCCCGGCGCAATAGTGTCTACCGTGGCTCCATGGCTCAGGGCAAGCGGAGTTCCATTACCCACACGAACAAGCAAGAACCTGCTCTTATGGAAATGAAGTCAATAACTGAAGAAGTTGATACTTTTCTTGGCGCGCCTCGGTTTACACAAAAGATTCGACATCCACGCACCGGTCGGACGATCACCTTTTCAGAAGTGGGAGATCCGAACGGATTTGTGGTCTTGTGTTGTGTCGGTATGGGATTGACCCGCTATCTCACCGCATTCTATGACGAGCTTGCTAGAACTTTGCGCCTGAGATTGATCACACCCGATCGGCCTGGCGTGGGCGCAAGCTCACCGTTGCCAGAAGCTCAGTGTACTCCTCTGAATTGGGTTGACGATGTGGCCGTCATATGCAGTTCTCTGGAGATCACGAGGTTCTCGCTTCTGGCGCATTCTGCAGGCGCAATTTACGCTCTTGCGACAGCCTTGAAGATGCCACAATATGTGCGAGGGCGTATCCATCTCCTAGCCCCATGGATTCCACCTTCACAGATGCCCAAAGGGGCAGCAATCGGACCCGACTCGCAGCCGATTGCCAATCTGCCCTTTAGCCACAAAATTCTGAGCGTTCTGCCAGCACAAATTCTCAAAGTTGCAAACTCAAGGTTTTTGACTGCCACAAGTGCTTCGGTGGATACGAAGCCACTAAAGTCCAAGAAGACCAAGCAGCAACTCGAGAATCTGGACGCAGCGCTCGCTTATCCATTTCAAGATTTGAACGACGACAGTTCATTTGGAGCCACCCTTCCTGACTTTGAGCCCGAGCGACCCCGAACAGGCACAGCCAACCGGGCACGGGCTCTGTCATGCTATCAAGCCAATAATGAAACGTTGGGGATACCGGGACCCCCTCTGTCCAGCCCAAAGCTCGATTCTGGCCGGCAGACGTTTTCGTCCACAAAAACCTCTGCCGCGGCTATTCGACCGATGTCTCCACGCTTGAGCCCCGAAGCACGGCAAGCACTTTATAACCAGACACTTACACATCGCATCTGGACGCTGGCCACGCAGAATGCGAATCCCGCCATTGATCTGCTGGTCTGTCTGGAGCGACGGAGACCTATAGGGTTTCGATATCCCGAGGTGACAAGGTCAGTTGTAATCCATCATGGGGCCAAGGATACGCGGGTTCCGCTGGACAATGTACGTTGGCTGCACGGCGTGATGAAGCGATGTGAATTACGAATCCTGGACGGTGAGGGACATGGCCTCATGGCGAGCGCATCGGCCATGGCCACGGTCCTCGGTGAGATCGCCAGAGAATGGGAAGAGTGGGAAAAGATCGCGCAGGGCAAGGAGAAGAGGAAACGAAGCGACGCGGCATCTACCTTCTCGAGGGGGAGGTCGTTTCACAGTAGATTTGTGGATGCTTCGTACCGAGAAGCTGCGTCGCGTGACTCCTGACCGAGCCTGAGGCTGGGACTGGATGCGAGATGGGTTTTACAGAGGCTGTACTTGGCCTGACGAACTACACGTGCAAGCACTGATATGAAGCCGGGGTTCACCTGTGCGACCATTCAAAGGAATCAACCTTACACAGCCACGGCTAGGTGTTTACTTGATGGGAATGGGATTGGAAACAGGCAATGATAGCGCTTGGATATACGCAGCCGGTAGCAGAGCAGCTACTAACTAATCTAATATAGACTCACCCGGAGACGGGGAGTGAACGAAGCAAAAATTATACAAAGGGAAAGGCAAAAAGTATACGAGGTCTAGAGGTGCAGCGTCTTTTTGAGATGGTTGTCTTCACCCCTGTCCTAGTGTCCTTCTCTTCTCCACACCATGTGCGCCTGTTCCCGGCACTATTCAGATACACCGAGGAAAAGTGTCCCACCTTTCTTCCAGCTACTGTACATGTATCTTAACTAAATCTCTTGATCTCTCCCCCCACCTACTCAAGCTCAAGGACATAATTCGAATAGAGTCTTGTGTATGAGATATAGAACCACCGATTCGGCAACGTCATTAGACAGTAACGGCACATGTTCAACATCCGCTCTTCCCACCGTCCTTCTCTTTTCACTCCGCTTCTCACCGAACTGTTATAGCGCCTGCGATGAGCAAGGCTCCCCCCGATGCCTGGGAGGACGAGTGGTCCTCCACCGCCGATGTACGTGGTGATCTTTTCTTTTTTTTATTGAGCGTCATTCCCTCGATTGCTAAAACATTGGTCGCCAGAAACTGCCAACTCCCCCCACGGAAACGGAGGCCAAAAGAGTCTCGTCGAAGGTGACAAAGGCCCAGCGAAGGGCTCAACAGGCCGAGTTCAACCGGCAGCTGTGGGCCGAAGCGTACGCGCTGCATGGAACCAACCTCTTCCCACCTCTTGTGTCTCTTGTTCTGACTCTCGGGTGTTGTGGCCTGGATCACAGTGAAGGGCCTAGAGAAACCAACTACTTTTTGGAGTCGCGCAATATCGTCCCCCTACGATCCGAGTTCAAACCACCTCCGATCCTCCTGTCGAGAAAAGGGCCCATAATTCAATCGCAATCTCCTCGACCGCCCACTGCCGGTCTCCAAGACCTAAGCCTGAATAGCTCCAAGAACGACTCTGCTGGTCGCGAGTCCTCCGAGGACGAAGAGGAGGTCAGGGCCCGCGAACTCACCCTCGCCGAACGACAGGCCCGTGCCGCCAGGGACCGCGAGGAGAAGCAGCGCAAATACGAGGAACGCAGACAAGAACTGTTCGGGACCTCGAGTGCCAGTACGACACTATCCTCTCACCAACAAGGAGCCTATAACAAGTCGGGGACCTCCAGTCCAGGGAGCTCGACCCCGCCCGGCTCAAGATCTGCGACACCAAATCGCAGTCGGGGCGGCAGAGGAGGGCGCCGCGGGCCGGGAGGAGTGGGAGGCGTGGCGGGTAACCACAACATGAACTCTCGAAACCAATCAAGAGGCGGTTCCCAACATCGAGAATTGTACGATCCTTCATACGCTTCGAGGCCCGACTCGACATATCCTCAGCAGCGACGAGAGTGGGAAAACGGGGCGGGATCGCTCCACAACTCTACCGGGTTGCCTCCTCTGCAGCACGTCCAGGAACCGATCCGGGCACCGAGAGGGCCCGATGGCAGTGGCCGGGGCGGATTTGGTTTTGCTGCCAGGGTGCCAGCAAACATAGCTGGGCAAGCCGAGACGGCCACGACAGTGCCAGGTTACCAATCTCTCGCAAGAAGGGACCTCACCGCTCCCAGTTCTGACTATGATGCGGCGCGGACGACCTCTTGAGCGACCATCCCTCTCGGCTCCCGGGGCGGGGCGAGTCAGAACAGGAAAGGAATACGGACTCCCCGAGTCCCGACCAGTCACGTCCGAAGGGACTTTTAGCAGCGGAAGTTATTCTGCCTTGAAAAGCAAGAACATAGACCACATCACATCCCATCACACGGGTCTTATTGCACGCCTCACACACTTCGACAAACATTGTACCACACATGTGTACACACATTCTTCCCGGAGCCTTAGAAAGGGAGGGAGGGAGGGATATAACGATAGAAATGCCATTATGAACCGCTTCAAACAGACCACATTCTCCCCCCCCCCCCCCCTTCCTTTTTTTTTTTTTTCTCTCTCTCTTCCCGAGTCTTTGACCTGTGCCCTGATTCGTGCATGTTCCGCTATAATTACCCTCGCTTCCATCTACCGAGTACAGACAGTACTTGTCTCCTTGGCTACTTGTATACTGACCTGTAGCTCTGGCATATCGTATACCCATAAACTTCGGTACCTACCCTACATACGTACCTTATAGCATATGGATCGAGTACCTACCTACCATGTTAATCACGGTCACGGGTACTACTTTTAGGTAGGTAGGCAGTTCTCTAGGTACGTAGGTAGGTATTGAGCACAGGGAGGTGTCCAAGGACCTACATATACCGAGTAAATGGAGGAAAGAATGAAGAAATATGCGTTCCAGTGTCACACACTGCACAGTGGTTTTTGACCTGCCCCGCGAAGAAGATATTTAGTATATCTACATATCACTCCCCTTAGATGTCTGTATGATAGATACAATACTGGCCAGCAAGCAACATCCCCGTCTTGCTCTAAGCTACGTGCGGTCAGAGATACAAAGGAGAGGTACTCAATGCTGTACTCGGTACTCACTTTTCTCGTTACTCAGTAGTATGCTCGGTGGTGTGGGAGATTATGGACTTTGGGAAAAACCCGAGTGGAAAGTTTCTGTCTTCAGCTTTCGACCGGGTGAGGTCGCTTTCTCAAACCGATTGCGCGAGCACTGGAGTGACCATCAAATCATAGCCCATGTAATGGATATTAACGTCAGTACCTCCAGCCTTTATACGGAGAGAAGTGTTCGATACCATAGTGTCACCAAAGACCATGTAGCTTGGGTACACCACTCGTTGACCTGTCAATGTCCGTCTGTTGTCACAAACCCCTCCGCCGCAAGTCTCCCTAAGCGCTGTATATCAAGCATTCATGATAGTGTCTGACCAACGCCGTCAGGATTATGGACGGCCTCTTCTTCCGATAAACGTCCCCAGACATCACCACCTAAGCCAAACCCCTCTTGCGCAACGACTTTCCTCGCATACTGGATTTCCACAATCGGCTTATGCACATCCTTCGCGCACCATCCGTCTTCGCCCACACCTCTGTATACACCGTGGTATGAATTTTCGTCACTCACGGTCCGCCTGACTCGGTCGTCCGCCTCGATAGCATCGACCCATTGCCTCCAGCGCGTGCCAACCTCCGGTCGCGGAAAGTTGCGGTAGTAGCTCAAAACGCGGGACAGTCGAATAATCCATGGGGCAAAAACCACATCGACAAATCCGATTTCGTTGCCCAGGAAGAACGGCCCCGTGGCATGGCTGGCGTTGACCAGCGAAGTGATGTTCTTCTGTAGCGTGGCTACGAGCATGCTATGTTGTGCCGCCGACGCTGCGTTGGTGACTTGGGCGTGTGCGTCTCCGTCAACCTGCATTCCGTCTAAACCCATTGGTTGTTCGCCACTTGGCGATGGTGGCGGGGTAAGTAGCAAGCTGTAAAAACTCGGAAGGATCTTGCGGTTGATATGGTCCGTCCACAGGCGACAGTGTGCTCGCAGTTGCGGGTTACCAAGGGGCAGTAGGGAATGTCCCATAGCCAAGTCCTCGAGGTACTCCAAAACGACACCGCTTTCCCAGACACCCCAGTTTCCATGCCTGATGCACGGGATATTGCCTTCCGGGTTTACCTCCAACATCTCTGGTGGTCTGTAACTGTCGACAGGTGTCGGCATTATCTCGACCATTTGATATGGAACGCCTTTAATCTCCAGGGCGATCCAGATGCGTTGAGCGAAGGGGCAGAACGAGTTGGCGAAGAAGGTTATCTTTGTGGGAACAGGCGCGGCGTGGGATCGGGCTGTGAAGAAAGCCATTCCTGAAGCTCGAAATGAAGGAGATGTGGACTCGTTGTTTGTTATCGATGGATTAGAGGGACCTGATGTGGGAAGTTTCTAGCAAAGTTATGATTAGTTGGGTGAAGGCATGGCAGGAGTGAAAAATGATCCGTATGAATCCCGTAGAGTATTGTGGTTCATAAACGGCACTGCACGGTACCAGGAGCACTGGAAAGGCTGGAATGTTACAGGGTGGTGGAAGACACACTTACACTCAATCGTTTCTTCTCCTTTTCCTCCTTCAACATCCATCTTTGAACGCTATTCTTCTTGATCCGGTCACTTTCTTCGAGGGTGTGCTTGTGGTCCAGGTCGGCATTCAAATTGGGATCCAGCACCGACTGGTCGATTTCGTCTTCGACATCGCCATTGACATTACTGTCACGTCTGTTAGAGTCTTTGACGGCTCCGCCACCTGGGTTGCCTCGGACACGTTGGATCGTGAACCATCGTTTTCCGTCAGCTCCCGGGTGCCCTTGAGGTAGAGGACGGGGAAGTTCAAGCAATCCGAAATTTGGGTCGATGGGGTTGGTAGTGCTGTGAGGAGCACTGCCAACGCCGCCGAGATGACCAACACCACTGAGACCTTGACTGCCATCTTCGAGGACGATCGTCAATTCGCTGTTGTCGACGCCTCCGAAGGTGCTGATTTCATTCGCCATCGTGCCGTTAGCATTGACGCCAGTGTCGATGCCATTCATGTCACTCCCAGTTGTCATACCCATCTTCCTCGCCTCCTCAGCGCTAAAGTACTCTGTGATTTTGATTTTGACATCGCAAAGATCTCGCTCCCGAGCCTGGCGCTTGCGCTTCTTCTTGTTGGGATCATCACTCTTCGGGGTACCGCTTGGACGACCCTTCAGTCGGCAGTCCCAGTAGTGACTGACAAATGCCTTGCGTTTGTATTTTTGAGTGGAGCGGTGCGAGTAGACGTTATCGACATGGGGAAAGTAAGTGAGGAACTCTTCTTCGGATAACACCAAGGTCTCGGTGATGTTGAAGAGTTTGTTGCGCCATTCCTCAAGGTTTGGTGGATCGGGCACCAAGGGGAAAGAGTCGCTGAAGGGATTTGCCGCAACAGCAGGGTCTGTTTCTGCATTGTCATTGTTGCCGTTGTTGATATTGAGGGCACCACTGAGGTCGTTGGTCGAGGGTGTAGTTTGGTAATGAGACACCCAGGGATCAGCCTGAACGACGCCATGCGGCGTAGTGTAGACTTGTGACTGCTTCGACAAGGATCGAGTAGGCGTGGGAGTGCCGTTCGGAAATGCAGACGAAGAGTTCCTGAAGACAAAGTCATTCTGCTTCTGGGATTGCGCAGGGTCGGGCTGCCCTTCCAAGTCATCAGACTGTTGGCTCATCTGTGTGGCTTGGGCCTGGGGAGTCACGCTCGAAGCGTTACTACCGGCGCGAGATGGGGTGGTCGAGGTTGTGTTCTGGGCAGCTCGAGTCTGGACCGACATGCCGGAGCGCGTCTGCTGAGGACTGCGCATGGCCGCATTCGCGCTAGGACTGTTTGTGTTTCTCAAAGTGTTACTTTGCTTCCTAGTCTGGACGTTTGGAGAACTGTTCGCCGCTGGTGGCAGTGGTGGCAGGATTATGGGATAGGATTGGTTGTGAGGGTTGCCGTTGAGGGAATCAGCAGGGGCATACCCAGCTGCGGCGGCGGCATCTTGCGAGGCACCGTCATGCTCGTTGCTGAAAGCAGGGAATTGTTGTTGGACAGCCGCAGCAAAGGTTTGGAGTGTGTCGGGCTCCATTGCTGAAGAGGGATTGATAGACGTGAGGAGGGTGCGCAGATAGATGATAAAGCGGCGTGGTAAGAAGGGCTGAGGGCTGAGGGCTGAGGAAAATTGGGAGTCAGCTGCCGAGTCAGGTCATTTCACCTTCGCCATCACAGTGCCGTGTCATTTTAAAGTCACTTAGTCAGCTTGTTACTCCCCCATCTCGTGTCACCGCAATCTTAGGCGGGACCCGGTGGGATATACATATTGAGTCTTCCACTACTTCATAAGGCAATAATGTTGGTACGGTTAGGATCATACTACTCAACGGATGACCCTACCACTGATATTTATTGGGTCTTTGTTACAGGCATAGTGATTTTGACCTTCGGTGCTTACTCCTCCAAGGACGAAGGAGCGAACTATGCAACAATACCCCTTCGCGGCATGTCAACTCTCACCCCATCTTCCTGTCCTTTCTTTTGTCATAAGCTTGTGAGTTCTTGAAAGGAAACCCCGACGTTCTCTTATCTGCGCCTGTCCTCTTGGACCGCCTGGCCTCCGTGCTCCCAAATATCACACTCCATATTCCCACGCTAGCCATGATTCCGTACCCCAGAGCCCCGAGCACATACGCGGTTTGTTCGTAGTTGACATACCGCATGTAGCAGTACGTCGTGCTCAGGCTGTGGAAGATGGTGGTGATTTGTAGAATTGGCCGGGCGTAGGGGGCCTTGGGATCGTTGTCCTCCAGACTAACCGGTTCACTTATGCTCGATGATAGTGGAATTGTTCCCGTGAAGAACATGGTTATTAGCGCAATTAACACCAGCGCAAGGCCGAGAGATCGACTGAGATATATTTCGACATCTGTGTTGTTCGTGTCCGAGGGTCGTCAGAATGGCTCGTTTCCCTGAGGGATTGCAGATGCCAGCCGTGGGTGTCAACGGCTCAGAAAGCACCATCTCACCTGAGGTCTGATGTCCATCTTCCGCCAGCATCATGATTATTAGCTTGGGCATGACAAGCAACGGTACAGCTTGCATTCCAAGCCATACCGCCGTGCCGTACGTGTAAGCATAAAACACCTGGTCAATTATGCCTAGGTCAGCCAGCAATATGTGGTGGGTGAACCACAACTAATACCACTTACATCCATCTCCGAGAAAGGAGGTACAGTTAGAGTCGAGAATCGGGCCGATATTGAGTCGCCTCGTGCTTGCTCACTGCCAAAAATGAAAACGGACCTGGACTAACATAAAAAACACGACGTCCTGGGGTGCGGGCGTGGCTGGATTCGGGGCCATATTCCATGACGTCATTCGTCCGTTACAGAGATTGGTCTACAGTATCCAGGCGTGCCAGGCAGCCAGGGTACCAGGGCATGCTGTATGTACCGTAGCTGGTGTTATATATCACCTGTCATTGCCAGCAAAGCCCAGACCGGCGCAAACAAACCGAAAAAGGACACATATTTCTTTCAATCAATTAGATTGTAGCTAACACATGCTAGCAACTGCGACATGAAAAAAGGAGAGTGCTTTGAGAGCACCATCTTCTGTAGACCAATGCAACCCTGCATGGGCTGGTAAATGTGGTTCATAGCCATGAAAATGCTCGTCTTGCTCCCATCTCCCAGCCAGGATATTCCCTCCCGAATGACCAGCATCTTCGCCTTGATACCTATATCTTGAATGCTTTTGACCCCCGGACATGTTGGCGCCACATGCATTCTATCGTCAACATTCATGCTAGAGATGTGCTATTGTCATACTTGTCTCATCCTCTTCCTGCTCGTTCTCCTTTTCAAGCCGCGGCGTTTCCTCTATGAGTTCTGGAATGCAGTAAACGCTTTGTAGGTGTATCCAATAAAGGGTAGGCTCATTTCGGCGTCTTGTTCTGGCGAGATCTGCTTGGCATGCGCACGATGCATGGCGCTGTTGTCCTCCTGAGGAATCTCGTCGATCGGGAAGTAGCTGACGTCGATGTTTGATGACAGCTTCGGTTCGAATGGTGCCCGGATTTTTCGCAATTGATCCCACACCACACCTCGGAAGAAAGGATGTTTCTTGATGGACGACGCGCCGTCGTGTGCACCTCCTTCTTTGCCCAACCGATCATTGGCATCGCAAAGGAAACTGTCCATGTCAGTATCAGAAAACAGGCCCTTGTCATCTAACATACCTTCTAATCATGTCTTCGGCATCTCGACCCAAGACCAGTTCGTCTGGGAAATATAGTGATTCACGCCAGTTGACGATCTTGCGATAGGTGTCGTGTGTGTCTTCGGCGCAGAAGGGTGGCCAACCAACCAAGCACTCAAACATAATAGCTCCCACGGACCACCAGTCGCACAGGTAAGTGTAGCCTTGACCAAGGAAAATTTCAGGAGCAATGTAATCTGGAGTTCCCACTGTCGAGTAGGCCATGTGACGACGAGACTTCCGCCAGGTATTCACCAGACCCCGGTTGCTGACCGTCAAGTTGATCTGCTCATTTAGAGCCATCGAATTTCGGTTGCCGGACTTATCGTTGGCGCCTGCTTTGAGGAGTGCCTGGTAGTACGAGTTCTCGTGCTGTTTGCGACCACCGGTAGAGAGACCAAAGTCAGTCAACTTGATATGGCCGCCTCTATCCAGCAGGATATTGTCAGGCTTGATGTCACTGAACGACGGTTAGCTTGATCCAGTAGAGTTGGGTTTGGCTGCTCTTACCGATGGAGAAAACCAAGCTTATGCACAGCCTCAATAGCCATGACAATCTCGGCCATGTAGAACCGTGTGATGTCTTCCGAGAAGATTTCGTATTTGATCAGCATAGTCATCAGATCACCACCCGGCAAGAATTCCATCAACATGTACAAGTACGTGTTGTCCTGGAATGAGGCATGCAGCTTGACCAGCCATGGATTGTCTTTGGAATCCGCCAGAATATCTCGCTCTGCCCGGACGTGCGCCAGCTGATCCTTTTTGAACATTTCCGACTTTATCAGAGACTTCAAAGCATAGATCTTCCCATCAGTCTTGCGTTGCACCAATTTGACCTCTCCAAAGGCTCCTTTGCCAATGACCTTGATGGTGGTAAAGTTCGAGGGCACTTCCCGCGTCCGAATAAAGCGCAGGAAGCGTGCCTCCTTCTGCGCGAGTGTGTTCATTTCCTTCTGTTTCTCAATCTCGCTGACGGCTGGGTTCTTGAGCAGGGCCTCCAACTCCTTGGCACGACTATTCCTATCCCTGGCTCGCTCAATATTCTCTTGGAAGAAACTGTTGACCAGTTGCTTAGCGGCCGTACCTCGCTTCAGGACATTGTCCGAGTATCTGCGTGGGTTCGGTTGTTCCTCCTCTTCAGGCTTTGGTGAGGGTCTCGGCATCGGTGGCGCCAGATGACTTTGGTAGGGATTCTGGACTTGTCTAGTTTCGCCAGCTGTCCGTGGACGCGACATGGCAGGTGATGGAGTGCGGTTGGTATTGACACGTGGTGTCGCCCCCAAGTCTTGGTTGGAGAATTGTTGAATGAGACCGCTTGTTGCATCATTGTTGTTCGCCATGTAGGGCCGCGAGTTGGTTTGATAGGCTGGTTGGGGAGATTGAAGACCACCTTGAGGCTGGTACTGATATTGCTGCTGGTACTGAGCCTGATGTGACTGAGATGGGTACTGTTGATTCAAGAAATAGCCAGCATTCGCGTTGGGGTTGGGAGACACAAGACCACTCCCATATTCCTGTTGTTGAGTGCCATAGATCGGCTGAGGGAAAGTGGATGGAGTGGTAGGATACATTCGAGCATTGGCAGCATCGTAATTATGTTGGTTGTCGAACTGAAAGTTCAGTCGAAGACGGTTGTTGTCGTGGTCCATTCTTGCAACAAATCAAGGGGTGAGTGCAAGGGGATCCAAGGGAGGGCCGCGAGGTAGCAGCTCTGTCCGAACCCGATCTCGTTGTATGTATTCCTTTGAGGCGCGGATGCTTGAACAGTCACAAGTGAGTCGACGAGAATCCCGGTACACCAAGTTGTAGGCAAACCCCCTAGATAAAGCGCAGTCGGTGTAGTGTAGTCTTTCTTTGAACTCAAATTGCGGTGACTTTGACAATTTTAGATTCTTGTTCAGGTGACCATGTAATTGAGGGCAAGATAAGCGAAGATGCAGGACCTGCACTGCACTTTATCAGAGGGAGGGACAAGAGCAGAGTGACGAGGGTATGAAAGGGAAGGAGGTGTATGTGAAATGGGTGCGGAAAAATAGGGTGCGGTGCAGCATCGAGATCGGTTACTGCAAGGTGGGAAACAGTCTACGGGCTAAGAATTAGGGGCAAGTGCCCACTGGAGGCTGCCGCTGCACTAGAGGCAAGCTTAAAGAGACTCCTGAGAGTCTTAAGCATGGACTGGGGTTACCCGTCACGCCTGGGTCCCAATTGCACAACAGGACTGACTTCATCGCCAGGCACAAACATGTGATTGGTTCTCACCCTCCTACCCTGGGCTGACAATCCCACCTAGAGGTAGGACGAGAGACCATTGCCAGGATGCCATATGGCTGCTCGCGTGGTCACACACCCTCGCTTGTAACTTTGGCTTCTATCTTTGACAGCCTCTCGGTTGGAATGGTGACCCTGACATCAGATTGCGCACAAAGCACAGTCACAAAACCAAATGATTCAGGGTGGCCGGACAAGTGAGAGACATCAAGGTCACCAATGTCTCGGGTGGAAGTCTCGCCAGCTCCATCCTGAAGAAGTGGGTTATTTTTTACGAGTCTGTACGAAGTCAGGAAGGAAGAGATGTTTCTTTGTGATCATAGCTAAAGAGGTGTGGGCGCTGTGACTTCCGGTGTTTTGGATGAGCGGTAAAGGGCTCCAGTCTGGTATGGTCGTACATACGTCGCGTTAGGCTCCCTCTAGTGCCTCTAGGGGGCCATGGGGTCGCTGGAATGAAGCGAGAAATGCTCCTACTATGAAAGTCTCATAGGAAGGTATACCGAGTCCATTCAGAGTTCCTGGTCGGATCAGCATATCCGATAAGTCAACTTTTTCTTCTGAGCAGAGCGTGCATGCGCAGGGCCTCTCTGCGCACTTGCACAATCTTGCTTTCCTCACGTTTCGCGGCTGGAGTGCCATCAAGACCATGGCCGACAATGCAAACCCTCCAAAGCCAGATGGCTTACCTGAGGGTGCCAAATATGAGGCTCCGAAACCTCCCAAACAAAATCCCGCCCTTCGCATGATGGGTCAGTCCCTTCAGTAGCCAATATCTAGCAGTCTTGCCTGACATGCAACAGGAATGCCCAACCTCCGATTGAGATTGCCTTCGCGCAATTGGATGATCTTCCTAACTATCGTTGGATCCTGGACTGCCGCCGTTGTTTACGACCGGAGGGAAAAGAAGAAAGCTCAAAAGAAATGGTGCGACTTGGTCGCTCACATCGCCCAGGAGCCTCTTCCGGCAAACCAGATGCCGCGGAAGTTGACTGTCTTCTTATCTGCTCCTCCCGGTGATGGCATAAGACCCTCGAGGCAGTATTTCAAAGACTACGTCAAGCCCGTGCTGGTCGCCGCGGCAATCGACTACGATGTAATCGAAGGTCGGAAGGAAGGCGACGTCCGATACGGAACTGCAGAACAAATACGAAGACTTCGGCGGAAAAAGGGTGAACAGCAACCCAATGCAGCAGAGCCAGAGATGGATACCGAAGCAGCGATAGATATGATCCGGGATAAGATGCAGATTGTGCCGGAACCTGGAGTTCGCGGGGATCTCGTCCTTGGAAGACACACTTGGAAGGAGTACATAAGAGGGCTGCATGAGGGCTGGCTAGGGCCAATCAACGAACCGCCAACGCCAGTTGAACCTGCGTCCGTCTTCGAAGCTGAACCCTTGTCTGCACATGTTCCCAACGAAGCTCGCACAGATGGTTCTCCGACGGCCACAGAAAACCCCGAAACATCGAAATCCGACGCCGAAAAGAAGCCAAGTGAGGCAGAAAAGAAAGAGGAGGAAAAGAAAAAGCCATATCCACCAGCAGCGTACCTCTCCATCGATAAATATCCGTCCGCTAATTTGTCGCCTAATACTCCAAGCATATTCGAACCGTCTCAGCCGATCTACCAACAACACCTCTTAGGCTTCCTCAAGACGCCTCAGAGAATATACCACTTTCTCACC